GTAAGCCACAAACTGGGAGAAAATATATTTGTAATACGTATAAATGATGACAGACCAGCCTATGGGATTTATAGACAATTCTTGTACTTTAATAGTAAAATGCCTGGCCCTCTGTGCTGTATAGACTATTTGTCCACGTCTGCCTATGTTCTATGCTGTCTTAATTATCATAGCTTTGTAATACATCTGGACACCTGGTTGAGCAATTTCTCTTACCTTTTCGTAGAAAGGGTGACTTAGCTATTCTTGCCTCTTTGCACCTCGACATAAATTTTAGAAACTACCCAGGAGCCTCTCTCTCTAATCAACAATATATATCTTTAGGAGAATTGACATCTTTTCAGTATTGAGCCTTCCGATTAATCAAGGTGTTATATCTCTCTGTCATGAGCTACTGCGAAGCTCAGACCCTAAATCTACACTGAACCACAGACTTACAGCCATATATACGTCAATTCTCATGGTCTTTATTTCCCAGATTTTTTCCCTGTTGTTTTGTGTCTTTATTTTTCTCTATTAATCAGCAATTTGCTGAATGTACCCTGTGTGAGTTGCCTCCATCCCTTTGAGGATTGTGTCAATGGAGTGAAAAATTAAGTAAACAGAAAATCCATCCGTATAATGGCTGAGCGGCCGGTTCCGCGTGGCCGTATTACTCACAGAGCAGAGCCCTCCTTTCTGGACAACACCCTGCTCGCTGGCTCGGGCCCCTGCCTGCCGGAGCCTGGGAACTGCCTGGGGACACTGTAATTTCTTCCATCTGGGTGGTACAGATTAAGATAATTAACAATGAGATGCAATTTCTCAGAATGCTGAGACTCCTTTAAAGACCCAAGAAAGGTTCAAAAAAGAACGGATAGATGCACCTTTCGTGCTGGCCGGAAGCCAACAAACGGCAAACCTCAGAGGGCCAAAAGGCGGGCGTGGCCAGGCTTCCTCCGCCCCGGGAATCAGGGCCGGTGCAGGTCCCCAGTGCAGGCCAGCCACGCGCAGCCTGGCCACTGGAAGGACTCGGGGTGTTGCTCATCCCTGCCCTTCTACCAGAGACCAGGTCGATGAGATGTAAGACCCCAGACCTGGCGCTGAGAATTGGAGTGACGCTCCGACGGAAGCAGAGCCCGACCTCCTGTTGCCCTGGCCTGGTGAAAACATGTCCTTGGGCCCAAGGTCAGGGGCCACTGGCTCATGGTGGTGGACAGCCGGGGACCCTCAGACCTGCTGTGTTCATCTAGAGTCTGCAGGAGCCAGACTCCTTATGTGTCCAGCTGCGACTTTACCAAAAAGTTTATCATCAAAGAAAAGTGGATAAGAGACTCTGTGGCTGGCTGTGCCCAGAAATGGAGCCAAGCACGCCGGTCTTTTAGGCTTCCTCAGACAAGCTGCTTCAAGTTACGTCCTCCCGTCATAGCAGCAGCTTACTGCATGCCAGGCACTGAGCCAAGCTCCTGGTTGATGATCTTCCACTGCTCATAGAAACTCTCCCCTCCCCCCCAGGATAGGTGCTATTACTGTCTCCATCTTACCAACTAGGACAGTAAAGTTCAGAGAGGGCAAGTAGCTGATCCAAGGTCACACAGCTGGCAAATAACAGTGCCAGGAAGCATGTTGTGGTGCTTTTGATCTGTGCCGCAGTCATCAGCATTTATTGCCTGGGACACGTATGCTATGTGTTCAATGAACATCTAACAAATAAGCAAGAGTGTCCCGGAGACTTGGCTCCTGGCTCCGGTCCCTTTCTGCAAAGCTCTCTCTCCTGAGCAACAACGGGCAGGTACAGGTTGGCAAATAAGATGCAGCCTGGCTCTGCATTGGCACATAAGTTGCTTCACCACCCACAAACAGGGAAGTAGGAAAGGCAGAAAGAGATACTTCCCCAAATGGCTTCATCTGTCACGGGGCTTTTAGTGAGGGCTGCCTCCCCGCTCCATTGAAGAAAGCCTGGACCCGGCCATCTCTTTCCAGAACTCCACACCACAGCTGCGGATGAGCACAGGAGGCCAGAGCCACCGCACAGACGGAGCGGGGGTGGGGGGGGGTGAGGGGGGAGTACGGGGTAGACAGACAGGGACCGCAGGGGCTGGGCGTGGCCCTAGATCCTTGGGGACCGGGGTGTGAAGCGAGTAGCTTGAGGTCGCGGTAACCAGGCAGATACCACACTGTACCCACTACTGTGCAGCTTGTCTTTTTTTCAATTTTTATTTTTATTAGTACATCAGCACACAGTGACTGCATTCATTGTGGGCAGTTGGTACATGTACTCAACACATCTGGGAATTCTTACGTCCCCTTCCCCGCCCCTCCCCCATCTCCTTTTACATCCATTTCCTGTTTGCAAAAGATCAGTCTCCATGTTTCCCATTATCTATCTTTAATTTTGCTCCTTATTTAAACTTTAGGCTTCTCACATAAGAGAGGACCATGAAATATATAAGCTTGTATGTTTGATATATTTCACTTAACATTATGGTCTCACGGTGCACCCATTTTCCTGCAAATGACTCATATTTATCCTTCTTTATGGCAGAGTAGTACTCTGCTGTGTGTAAGTGCCACATTTTCTTTATCCATTCATCTGTCGATGGACACATAGGCTACTTCCAAGATTTAGACATTACAAATTATGCTGCTATAAACATGGTTGTGCATGTATCATGTAATATGATGTCTTTCACTCTTTTGGGAAGATACGTAGAAGGGGAATAGCTGAGTTGAGTGGAATTTATATTTTTAGTTTTTTTGAGAGGTCTCCATACTGATTTCCATAGTGGTTGTACCAGTTTATATTTCCACCAAAAATGTAGGAGGGTTCCTTTTTCCTTGAAGCCTTGCCAGCATTTGTCTTATTTTAGTCACTTAGCAACATCTTACAGAAATCCCTCTTAACAGTAGAGTGTTTTCTATTCATCTTTTTTTTTTTTTCTTAGACAAAGAGGGTCTCATTGTGCAGTGCAGGCTGGCCTAGAACTCTTGATGATCCTCCTGTGTCAGCTTCCCAAGTGCTGGATTACAGGTGTGCACCACCATTCCTGGCTGTATTCATCCTTTTCAAATGATGCTCCAATGGTTCTAGGTGTAGGATGTACCATGGTATGCTCACACATGTAACCCTTGATCAAAATTTACTCTTTCCAGTTTTTTGCAATAGTTAAGAAATAACTGGTATTTTGTTTGGTTTTTGTTTTTGTTTTTGGTACTAGGGGTTGAACCCAGGGGCACTCTACCACTGAGCTACATCCCCAGCCTTTTTTATTTTTTTGTTTTGAGACAGGATCTTGTTAAGTTACCCAGGCTGGACTTGAACTTACAGTCCTTCTGCCTCAGCCTGCCTCAGTGCTGGGATGCTGGGATATAGATGTGCATCACCATGCCTGGCTAAGAGTTGAGATTTTGAACAAGACATGCAACAGACCCCCTAGGGAATCTGTGCAATGTACAAACGCCTGGGACCCAGGGATTCAGCCAAGGCAGCCTGGTCGGAGGAGCCCAGGTAGCTGCAGTTTTAATGCTCTCTTGGGGGTAATTTTGTGTGCCATATTTAAGAAGCGCTGGTCCAGTGGAACAAGGGTTGGGGGGAGAGGCAGATGCTTGGGAGGACACTAAGGGTCACTAAGGGGGTCACTGCTGTTCTCTCCTGGCCACACGTCAAAGGGACCAGGCGGCATGGCACACCATCCTGATACCCAGGCAGAGTCTCAGGGGTTGGGGAGCAGGGTGGCTCTGCTAGGTTTAAAAGGTTTTCAGGTGATTCTAACATGAGATGGCCTGAGAACCATCAGGGCGACTGGTTAAGAACTCAGATATAGAGGCCACCTAGCTCTGTGACCTGGGCAATTCTCCTATTTCTCCTTTAGTTTCTGTACTGATAAAGTGAGGGTCATAGCAGTAACTGCCTGACAACACGTTGTGAATGCATACAGTGTTCAACACACACCACTTATACTCAGCATTGTTACACTGCAGATGAGCTGGGGTGACCCTGATATGTAGGAAATGACAGCTCCTATAGCCTCTGTCCAGTCGTCCTTCCCTAGGGCCCCCACCCCCACCCTCCCTCCCTCCCACCGGGGCTGCTGGAAGCCTCAGGGTTGGGCAACTTCCTGCCAAGGCCCTGCAGTTACTTAGGACAAAGAAAACATGAGTCAGACCGTGCAGAGCTATTACTCCCCTTTGCAAGGACAGCCCTAGCTCCTGTCCCCACGCAGCTCAGATCAGCGGGTTGAGAACCAGGAGTTGCTGGGGCAGCAGCCCCTTCCCTAGACACCAAGCCTGACCTCTGGCCCTCAGGGGTCTCCATCCCCCTTAGAATTTGAGACATAGGAATGTTTCAACACAGCACTTCCAAGGAGGCCTGCAGGGTGTCACCTATGGACATCATTTTGGGGGGCAATACTGGGTGTCAGCGGCTGGGCAGAAACTTCGAGTGCCCAGCACCTGTGCTTGCCTTAGAAGATGCTGCCCCCATGACTGGTGAGGTCCCCTGGTTTACGTGCTTTTGATAAGGTCCTCCAGTGAGAACTGGTTTAAACCAACGAAAGCAGCCCAGCCCTTCATCTAGATGCCCTAGAGTAAGCGTTGCTCATTACAATCTCATTGCAATAACAAATTCCCTGCTCCAAGGCTGTGCTCTGCTGTGTTTAAACCTTGGATGTGTGCAGCCGCAGGACCTCGGTCTGCGCAGGCGCAGAAATGCGCCTCCGCCACCTGCAAGGACAAGTTTCTGGCAGAAGCCCACAAAGTCCCCCCAGAAGAATCCCCTCGCTTACAAAATCCTGGACCTTGGATCTGTCCCCCAACCTTGCTTTTGTCTGTCTATATTGTCACAGCTGCCCGTGACAGCCCTGGTTTGTTCTGTAGCAGCCACACCAGGTCAGCCATATTTGGTTCATCAGCCCTGCATTCTCAGGCAGCCGGGCAGGCAAATACGCCCACAGCAGGAAACTCCCCAGTTGCTGCTATCTTCTTCCAAGCCCAAAGAAGGGCAAAATGATGCCCACACCATGTGTGTTTCTGTTGATTTATTAGCCAGTAACTGAAACCCAGCTGGACCCACACATAGCACAGACAAAACTGATACCCGCTTTGAGGAAACCAAGCTCTTGCCCACCCTCTGCCCTGAGAGCGGGCTCATTCCCGGAGCTGTCCCCTCCAGAGCTGTCTCGAGCTCTGCAGCATGGCAGGATGTCAACAGAAGGTTGAGGGCCGTGTCCTCCAGGCTCTTCCCACCTGCACAGGGTGGTCACCAGGGTCAGCTCTGTGTGATGTAAGAGACACTTTTTGTCCTTGGACCCAGGCCTCCGAGTCTTCAGCATCCTGAGACACTCTCGCCTCCAAGAAATTCCAGGAGCGTTTTGGACAAAGCCATTGTTCTGAATGTCCAATGGTGGGAGGTGTATAAGGCTAAGATACAACTATCATTCCATCCACGCCCACCTAGAGGCATCCGCCACGTGAGGGCTCAGGCCGGGCGGGACAGAAGGGCACAGAGTGGGAGTGACGGCCCCACTTTGCCCGAAATGGACCCGCAGCTCCGCCCCGTCCTGCGTAGAGTGCTGCGACTCTAGCATTGCTCCCACGTGGGGCTTCCTCCGTGAGCACGCACAGGGCAAGGGGGCTAACGAGATGGATGTTTCTAGACCCCAAAGTGAACTTGGTGCCAAACAGGAGGTTTGGGGCGCTATGAAAGGGGATTCTGAGGGGAGTCTGTGTGGGTCCTGTTGATCCACTTAGGAGGGCACAAGAAATGAAGTCCTCTATGGGAGGCCAAGAGTATTCATGTAGGGGAGCCAAATGTGTTACAGGTGGGGCATGGACCCTTAGGGAAGGGGCTTCCGAGGGGGACAGTCACCCTCAGCATTCTGTCTGGAACCCGGGGGTCTCTGGAGGCTCACTGTTCAGGGACCAGCTCCGATGCCCCACCCAGGGAGGAAGTGGGTGGGAGCTGGCTCAGGGCACCATGTTCCACCACTTGAAATCAAAGGGCTTCCGGCGCACGTTAGTGCCGCAGTGCACCTCCCCATGCAGCAGGTGGTAGGGGGTGAAGTCATCGATGAAGGTGCAGTGGAGGCCCAGCGGCTCCAGCAGCGAGCGCACCTTCTCCTCCAGGCAGCAGCGGCCGTTGATGACCGGCCCAAAGGGCTTGGGGATGCCCAAGTACTTCCCCAGCACCAGCATATTCACCTGCAGAGAAGTGGGGGGCTCAGCTCTTCCCCATCAGTACCCCCCACACACACACCTGCACCTACCCTGCAGGACCTGAGCCTGTCTTTCAGGCAGCCTTGACGATAGCTACCTGCTTGTTTCTGTGCAGTGGAAGGGAATGGGGCTTCTAAGACCCTATTAGCCAGGTGCCTGTACATGCTCTGCAGAGCTAGCCATGGCGGCCTTCTCTCCTAAATGCTTTCCTATTGGATTGCCCCGTGGTGCCCGCCATGTTTGCTACAGAAGCCCCACCTCCTAGGCTACAGCTGATTGGACCAGGGTAGGTGTCTGACCTAAGATGGACCAATCAGACTCCTTGTCCTAGGGCTTTGGCGTCGACTTCAGGAAAGTCCCAGTCTCTCCTGTGCGTGAACTACAACGCATGGCCATCCTCAATCTGTCCCCGGGGGAGGCCAGCAAAGGAGTCAAGCTGGAGGAGAGGAAGAAGAGTAGAAAGGAGAGAGAATTATGTAGACACAGAAATAAGCTCCTGTTCCAGCTCTGTGGATGCCCTGCTACATTTGTCCTGGCCCTCAGGATTCAAGTTCTTAGGTCAAATCTTCCTCTGGAGGAAGCCATCTTGGGTGGCCTCTGTTGCCGACAGAAGAACTCGAACCCCGTTGCCCAAGCTTCCGGGAGCAATGCACAGTTACAGGGCCACAGGAAGGAAACACGCAGGAAGGCAGTGGGTGATGGAAGGCTTAGCAAGGGAGGGCAGAAGGCAGAAGGAAAAGAGGGGATGAAGCAACGGTGGTGCGGACAGGCTCTCCACAGCGCTGATAAGGGATGGGCTGAGCTCCTCTGGAGGGTGGGGCAGGGGAGGGAGGGAGGAGGCAGGAAGAGAAGGTGACCCAAAAGCAGCGCCACCTGGGTGCTTGTTAAGAGAGGCAGCAGCGTCCCTGGGACCCCACTCAGGCCTGCTGAATCAGGACACGGGAGGGTGGCTGTCCTGGGTTTTTAGATGGGAGTTCATGATTCAGAGGCCCCAGAGGCAAAGCCCTAAGGCTCCATCAAAGGCCATGCCCACCCCCAAGGCTTTTCTTGGATCTCCACCTCTCATGCAAGGAGCATTCTGTCCCACAGCCACACTGCCACATGCTATATTGCATGGAGTAGGTGTCAAGGACATGTCCTCAGGGAGGTAAGGTGAGGACAGTGTCCCCCTGAGCAGATTGGAGTGAAGCTCCTGGAGAGCAGGGGCCAACCTGGGTCACCCCTGTATCTCCCACTGGACACCTGATTTATGCGGGATGATGAACAGTTGTGAGCTGGGAGCTCCAAGATGCCACATGCTTTGTATACGTGCCTCTGACAATCATTTATCCACTCCTTGAATGTCAAGGGGGTCCCTCCCTTGATGGCTCCTGAGCCAGAGCGTGGTGCAGGGACCACGATCAGCCCCTGGAAGTCATGGCGTCAGCTCGGGTACCATGGGAGCCTGATCCTTTTCACCTCTCTCTGCAGCCAGCCCCACCCCAAACACAACTGCGACCCATGTCTCTCCCCCTGAGCACTGCGGGCTCAGAGCCTCATCTAAGGAAGCCCAGCTCCTGGTGGTGGCCTCACCAAGTCAGGGAAGAAAGCCATCGCCTTTTTCTGCTCGGACTTGAAGAGCTGCGGGATGTCGATGATGTCCTGATCTGCCAGGCCCAGCTCCCGCTTCAGCACCTCACGGTTCCAGTCGATGCAGCTCTTGGGGAGGGAAAGGCCGAGTTGGGGAGACCTAGCTAGTGTGTGTTGAGGGCACCAAGGGGTCACATGTGGTTGAGGAGGGACAGGGTGCCCGAGTATCCACAGACTGTCCACAAAACCTTACGTTTGTCCCCTTTGGTCAAAATATCCATGGTCTGTATCCCACCCCATACATCCCATCTCACTAGTTGGGCTAAAACCGAGAGTGTTCTAGAATGTTCCATCCTCAACCCTTTCTTCTAGATCCCCCACTCCTTAACAGGTCTCATTCAGTCTTGTGGTTTAATTGAAACTCCATCTATACACTGGTGACACCCACATTTCTCTCATCAAGCCTCTATAAAGCCCCGTCTCTTTCCTGAGCGCAGACTTGTACCATCATCCGCTTTGCGTCTCTGCTGGATGTGATGGGGTCGGAGATGAACTCTCCATTTCTAGCCTGAAAGGTGCTTCCCCAATGAAGTTCCTCAGCTCTGTGAATGTCCCCGTGCCTAGCTGGCTGCCACAAGCCTCGCTGTCATTCCCTGTACCTCCCTTCCTCTTGCTCCGTCTCCAATCCCACAGCACGTCCTGCGGCCACTGCCTTGAAGACCCATCCCAGAGCTGCCCCTGTCCTACCACCTCCGCTGTCTCCAGCTGCCCCTCTGGCCTGGCCGCTGCGGCCCCTTTGGCAGTGCCCTGCTAACTGATCTCTTGCTATTTATTTCTCCTCTTGTCTACAGGGTGGCCTCGGTAATGTCCCTCACAGACCTCCAGCTCCACGGCTCTGAGTCCCTCCCTGTGCATGAGGTCCCAGCCACTGCCACCTGTTCCTTGCATGCATGTGGCTCAAGTCAAAGCAGGGCACTGCAGACCTTCGGTCAGGGTCCCTTCCAACCTGCGCCTTCCTGAGCATGAGCCTCAGACGTCCCCAGCCCGGCCCACTTTGCACTCAGCCCACGGCCCTTGTACCTGCACAAACTTATTAAAGCTGATGAGGTTTCTATTGGAAAGGACCTGGTCGATGGAGATGGTCCGGACCTGCCTGTCACCTGGGAAGGACAGAGAGACACAGAGGGGCAAGAATGGACCCAAGTTAGGAGGAAGTAGAGGGGCAGAGGCCACGTGCACAGCCACTGGTCCAGCTGGGTCAGCCACTGTCCAACTTTGCCAAACGGACAGCGGCTGCAGAGCTGGGCGTGGCCACAGTGCCAGGCTGGAGCGGGGTCGTGGGAAGGTCCTGCTACAGTGACATGGAGTTCACTGGAGATGCTAACGCCCTTAGCCGGAAGTTAATTAAATGCCGCCCCAGGGCACTGAGTGATCGGTCCTCTTCCTCCCACCAATGGGGAGCTGGGGAGGTGCTGTCTGTCCCTCGCCCACAGGGCCAGCCTTTATGGGTTCGCTGAGCACTTGAACAGCCAGTCTTGGGAACCCCACACCGGCAGGCCCTGGCCTGCCCTGTGGGAGGTGACTGCATGGCAGAGCGGCCCCCAGAGGAGGCCCAGTCTCCTGCCTGCCTGGCGGTGTGCGTGTCACCCCCGCTTTACAGATGCGGAAACGAGTTCAGAGAGGGCAGATGACTTGCCCACAGGAATACAGCCCAGATGGGAGGGATGCGAGGAGCCGTGTTCACAAGGGGCCTCCAGCTTGACCAAGAGAAGGGAGAGGGCACCTGCATGAGGCCGGACACAGTGATGGTCCCAGCCAGGCAGGTTAGACACGAAACAGGCTCTGCTCAGCCTGTGTCAGGCCTTGCTCACCGTGAGCCCGGCTGTCCCAGGGAAGCACAAGGGGTGTTCCCCTCCCCAGCCACCAATGGGTGCCTCACATCTGGGTTTGAGAGGTTAACATTTAACTTGGGTTCGAAGGAATCTCGAGATGTTCCCTTTGGGAGCAATGGATTGGGAAATACAATCTTCTGCGTCACTGCTGGGTGACCTTAGCAAACAGCAAGAGACTTGGACGAGATACTTGGAAGCTTCTAAATTTTTCTCTCAGGTAGCTTTGGTTCTCACAGGGGCCACAGGATTAACAAAACCTAAGGTCCCTCTAGTGAAAGTTCCCTGGGATGCCAGATCAAAGGAAGGATCCTGGGACTCAGACCTCTCCTGGGGATGGAGAGGAGGCAGGCTGACTCCGCCCACTGCAGCCCAGCCAGCCCCACCCCTCCCAGTTCCTCCAGTGCAAAACAAAACCTCACACCCAGCTCCTTGTTCAAAAAGCAGGGAAAAGTTGGGCGTGGTGGCGCACATCTGTAATCTCAGCACTCAGGAGGCTGTGTCGGGAGGATCATTGCAAGTTCGAGACCAGCCTGGGTTACAAAGTGAGCTCAAGGCTAGCCTGAACTGCATAGCAAGACCCTGTTTCAAAAAAAAAAAAGACAAAAAAAAAAAGCAGGGAAAAGGACCATTAAAATATTATGGGCTTCCTAGACACAATTGAATTACCAAAACTAAATTAAGATGATATGAAAATTCTAAATAATCCAATAACAGCCAATGAAATTGAAAATATAATTAAAAATTTACCAACAAAATACTGTGAGCTGGGGGATAGCTCAGTGATAGGGGTTTTCCTGGCATGGGTGAGGCGCTGGCATGTACACTAGCACTGATTTAAAAAAAGGGCTGGGGCTGTAGCTCAGTACCAAAAAAAAAAGCACTGAAATATAAATCTGTTCCTTCCTTTCCTCTCTCAGCCTGTCACAGTGTTATTAATTCACTCGTTGATGTGGTGCCCTTGGGGGGAGGGGGCAGGGTGGGGCAGGATGGGCCCTGTGGAGGGGGGTGCCTGGCCCTGATTGGCGCAACTCTCCCTAGACCCATGTGCTGTGCCAGCCTGGGGGGTCACGTTGAGCCAGCACCTCCCTTTCCCGCAGCCCATCCACCCCAAGCCACCACTAACAGACGATCTTTGGAGGGGTGCAGCCTCCTTGCCAGGGCTGTGCTGCTGAGGGGTCACCCTTGCCAAATTGCCTACCATATGCTCTGGCTAGGCGGGGACAGCTGGTGCCAGGCCTCTCCTGAGATGCGGAGGGGCTTGTGCGCCCTGACTATTCCCTGCCCAGCTGCCGCTGGGGGTAGAGGGAGGCAGGATCATTGTTACAATTTTGAGACAATGATTGTAGCCCATGAAACTCCAAGCTCCAGGCCTTCGGGACAGAGGGCCTGGTGTGATAGGACTGTCACAGCTGGCTCTGGCCCCACTTTCTCCATGCCCACCCAGGACTAGGGTCCCACCCAGTTCCTGCCTCACTCAGCCCAACCAAGGGCAGTGGTGATTGGCAAGGCAGGGTGTGGGGTTCTTGGGGCCACCCTTCTCCAAAGCCAAGATGCATTTTCACTTAGGGGAGGGGATGGCAAGCTGCACTGGGGACATGGCACTATTACCCACCAACAACCCCCTGGAAGAGGAGGGCCCTGCCATGGCCCCATTTCCGCTTCTCCTGGAAGAGCCGGAAGCAGGCGGCGGGACTGGCCAGGAGCATCCGGAAGCCCTGCATGCAGAGAGACCGGGTCAGCTGAGTCCCGAGGCTCCCCTGGCCTGCTGAGCTCAGCCCTGACCCAGACGCGGAGACAGGTACATCCGCAGGCCCTCACCTTCCCATCCGGGGCAGGGACAAAGCTCAGGAACTCATCCACGTGGCCCACGGCCAGCCAGTCCACGAAGAGCTCTACAGGCGGCTGTACCTTCTGTGCGTGGAGGAAGTTCCGCACCACCTGGGTGACCCTGCGGCCCTTTGACCTGACCCGCAAGGTTGGAAAAGGCACTTGGCTAAGAAAAAGTCCGTGCAGAACCAATCTCTCTCCCGCTCCCTCTCCGCCTCCTCCCCCTCCCCCTCCCCCTCCCTTCCCCCTCCCCCTCCCCCTCCCCCTGCCTCTCTCTCACTTATCTGTCCCTCCTCTCTTTCTCTCCTCTCCCCTATCTACTTCTCAATTTGTACTTCCCTTCTGCTCTCAAGAAAAGACCCAGTATTAGTTATTTACATCATAATATAAACAAGCTTTGATCTAAATGCTTTTCTTCAGGGCTGTTGGGAAAGGAAAGTTTTCCTCCTATTATTATTAACTGATAGGCTCTGTAATCAGAAGACCCCAGTCCGTCCTTGATTTGCATTTTCTGTGTGACTCTCCCTGGGGCCACTTGTAAAGTGAGAGCTGGACAGGACAATCCTGTAGGGTCCTGCTTCCTCCAGCTTTCTCAGATTTCAAGGGCAGGTGCAGAAGGTCTGACGCACCGCCCACCACCCCACCACACCCAGAACTACAGTGACATCGCTTCATGCTGGTTTTCTCTCCTCCCGGAAGCCCTCCCTGAGCCCTCTCACCCAGGCAGGTTGCCCCCGATGAGGATCCGCCCCAGGGGGTACTCCTTCCCGTTGGCCACCACTGGGGGGCTGACCTCCAGGTTCCCAAAGGAGTCTAGGCCACTCACGGACTTGTCTCGTGGTTCCCGAGTCACGTAGCCAAAATCTGTCCCCTGGAGAGGTGGATAGAACTGAGTTAGGGAGAGTGGGCATGAGGAAGAGCTTGAACCAACTTGCTGGGCTCTGAGCTCCTAAAAGATGGGATGGGAATAGACACCCATTCTTCAGATGGAGATACTGAGTCATAGACAGACCTGATCCAGGCAGCAATTGTGGCCGAATCTGGGAGACACTCAGGCCCTGTGATCTGCTGCCCCTGCCAGCCAGGGTCATTTCCTGGTCTCAGAGACAGAAGGAGAGCTCAGTAGCACTGTAGCCCCATCAGATACTCTGGAATAGCTGCCCTGGGGACCAGAGGCTGGGGATGGCCCACAGAGCCTCAGGCTCCCCAGGGGCATCTTTCAGAGGGACATGAGATACCACTGAGAACAAAGCAGAGTTAGTCTCATCCCAAACCCTATGTCCTCTGCCTCCCCTGTCTAGGGCTGCCAGAAGTATTAAATAAAACTACAAGATGCTCCATGAAATCGGTACATTCTGCTTAGTATAAATCTATCCTATGCAATGTTTGGGATGTACTTATAGCAAAACATTACTTGTGTTTTGAAATTCAATTTTTTTTTTGAACTCAGGACCTTGTGCTTGCCAGGTAGGCGCTGTGCCATTGAGCTATATCCACAGCTTGAAATTCAAATTTAACTGGGCATCACCTGTATTGTATCTGGCAGCCCAATTCACATCCCTAAAGGACAGGCTCCCAGTTCTGTTCCCTGGGATCCACCCTCCAGCATGGCCTTGGGATGATGGCTCCAGGATCCTTGGGGCGGGGCCGCAGTAGCAACCACTTACCAGGATCCTTTTGTAAGGGAACTCCTGCAGCTCCCCATTCCTGGGGGAATCGAAGACCACAGGGAAGGTCTTGTGCGGCGCCTCCACATAGCCTAGCTCCATCTCGTCCTGTCAAGCAGGGAGAGACGCCCGCTGTGGAGGCCGCAGCTCTCCACCTGCGTGGCGTCGGGCCCCCTGAGGAAGGCTGCACGCCTGAGTTCTCCATCTCAGACCTGTTTGCCCTTGGAGATGGGGAAGGCAGAGGTCAGGATGTCTGCTGCCTAGAGGCTCAGAGAGGGGATACATTTGCCTGTGGCCACACAGCAAGCAGCGAATGAGAACATTGATGTGACCTTGGGATGTCCTCGTGCTGGGCCAGAGAGGGTGGATGCAGAGAGGAACTCGAGGTGGCCACTGGGCACCAGCCAGCCCTTCTGGCCTCCATGCTTTGTCTCAAGGGATTGGCAACTGGTCAGAGGGGGCACAGATAGCCCTCCTTGGACCTGTGAAGTCCAGATCAGTCCTGCCTGTGCTGTGAGCTAAGTCTCCAAAGGAGAGTTCACGAGTGTGCACCCAGCCGGCCCTGAACCTTTGTAGACATCAACTCCACCAACCCTCACAGCAAGCTGTGCAGAGGTGCGATTACTGCCTATTTGATAGAAGAAGAAAGGGTGGACCAGAGAGGGCTGGTTGTCTGTCCAAAGCACACAGCTAGTCAGGGAGGCTGAGGCAGGAGAATCACAAGCTCAAGCCCAGCCTGGGCAATTTAGTGACTTAGCAAGATCCTGTCCCAAAATAAAAAATAAAAGGCCTGTGGCTGCACCTCAGTGAAAGCCTGGACTCAGTCCACAGTACTGCCAAAAATTTCTAATAAGTGTCTCCAGATACTGCCAGTGTCACTTGGGGAAAAAAAAATTGCCTCCTAGCTCGGCTGTTGAGGTGAGGGAGATTGTGCCCAGCACCTTGGCCATCCCTTCAGGCCCACCTCAGGGCCTGGCCCAGGTGGTGCCAAACCCAGCAACAGTGTGCACCTAGGTCTACACAGTTCTGGAGTGTGGCTCTAGGTCTTGAATCAGAAAGGGCAGCAAGAACCCTGAAGCCCCAGGTCCTCCTGGGCTTTGTTTCTCGGCAGCCTCAGGCAGGGCCGCCCAGCCTCTCCCTGCAGGACAGTGGCCTGGTGGCCGTGGTTACCTGGATCCAGCGGTCGTTGCGGTTCTCGGTCTGCGGACAGATGGTCAGCTTGCAGCCTGCCTGACTCGCCAGCTCCGCCACAGCTTCCACAAAACGCGTGTTGTTCCTCACCCTGGGGACAAGCCAAGGAGAGCAGCTTAGGCCAAGGCCTGGGGACCGGAGGGGCCAGTGGCGCAAAGTCCCCTACCCTCTCCAACACTCACCGGCACACGTACACCTCCAGGGGCGGCAGGGTGCTGGGCGTCATGATCCAAGGTGCCACCCGGAACACCACGGAGTCAGTGAAGATTGGGGTCTCGGAGAAGTCCTGCAGGGGGCAGCCCCAGCGCCGGACTCAGAGTCCAGCCACAGAGCGGGAATCTCTTCTACTACCGTGGTCCTTAAGAAAGCCCCTGACAAGATGGAGCCGAGCCAGCGGGGTGGCAAAGAGGCCTGGGGCTCTTACTGCCAGCAATGCCCATTTCTCACCCTCCACCCTTAAACCACCCTTACCTCATTGGAGTCATCCAGCAGGGTGACATGGAAGGAAATAAGCCCTGGGAAGCCAGCGTCGGGGAAGGAGAGGCCCTCCACGAAGAAGCGCTCCTCGTCCCCATGGAGATGCGGCACCTCGTAGGACACCTTGTCCTGGCCCAGCACGCACTTGTAGGCCTCACAGGAGTCCTCAGGGCCTGGGAAAGGAGGGTGGGGAGACGTGGGAGGAGGGGGTGAGGGTATTATTTTCCACAATCCAATGAAAGAACTTTACCCCTAACCTAGCAATCCTGCTTCTAGGCATAGTTGCTATAAAAATATATATTCGAAGCCAGCCATGATGGCGCACACCTGTAATCCCAGCACTCAGGAGGCTGAGGCAGGAGGATTGTTGCGAGTTCCAGACCAGCCTGGGCTACAAAGTGAGCTCATGGCCAGCCTGAACTGCATAGTGAGACCCTGTCTCAAAAAGAAA